CAGCAACAGGTGGTCTGACAGCAATCTCAAATCCAAGAGTGCTGCCATTCAGAAAACCTGGGCAGGTGCATCCTTATTACACACACCGTTAAAGGACAACTCTGCAGTCCAGGAAAAGCAAACATTTCATTATCTGTGTTAACTTTCAACCTAAAGGTTATTAAATTTATAGTAAATGTACTCCTAATGCATTTCTGAGATTATGCCAACCTGTGTGATTCTGTTAAAACCTTTTTAGCTGACAACAAAGAAGAGGAACAAAAAAATCCTAGTGGAACTAAACTCAGAAGTCCTCATCTTGGCCTCATCCATAGCTGAGTACCAGAGTTTCCTCCCAGGTAAGTCAGAAAACATGATTCTTCCTTCAGAAAAGTGGTGCCTTACAAATCAGATGGGGACAAATAAAGCTGAAGCTGCACTGGGCGCATGAACCCACATCCTGCGCTCAGACGGAGGGTCACGTTGCCTTCCCTCCTTTTGGAAATGCTTCCTTCAGAAGTGTGGTCACGTCCTGAGCCCCCAAAGTACCGTTTCGGGTAAGACATTCTTTTGCTGCCTGTGCATTTTGGAGGACACACGAGGTTTAAAATGACAAGTAGATGTTCCATGTGGATTACTGCACTGACCGTGACACACATCCCTCATTTTGGTCCACGAGGAAAGGGGGGGGGCTACATGAATGAAAGTCAAGGACTGAACAGCATACACCCACTGGTACAGTACAAAAAGTGAAGGAAAATCTGTGAGTCCGTTTCATTTAAACGTAATTAAGAATTTCATGGTAAGGTGAAAAAAAATGCTTCCATAAACTAAGCTTAACACTGAATTTTACTGACATGCACGCAGAGTCCTTCATACTCTTTCTAAACCGTTTTCATGTACAATTTTAGAAGGACTAGTAGCTTGTATGCCAGGAAATAAATTCCCTGAATTTGTACTGAATTTGACAGAAGGAAAACACAGAAAGAGACCCCACCCTGAAGAGGTTTAACATGTGATACAGGGAAACATCTGTATGGGAATTTCTCCCACAAGTAGTTTTGCTTTCTGTGGGGCTGGGGTAGGAGTACACGCAACAACAAAAACATATTTTGAAATATATGAAAACATGTCCCTCAATAGTTATATGATATTTTATTTTGAGACTGTTGGAAAAGCATATAAGAACAAAATCCAAAATGCTTTGTACAAAGTCTTCAGTTTGGGAACCTCCTGTTCCTGGTGGTAGCTCTGGAATGATGAAAAATGGGCTATGACTATATATTCTAACTGTACAGACATGCCTGTTAATGTTCTTCTTCTCACTTCAAAATAAAACAGTCTATTTTAAATTGTTTAAATATTAACATAATATGTACAATGCATTCATGAAGTCTATGGTGCATACCATTATACAAACATAGAAAAAAGGCAAAAGCAGTCAATTTAGAAGTGGAAATGTTACATAGATACAGATACTAGACACCAGCGTCACGGACACCCCGTACCTGTTCTTCCATAAGATCACCTTCTGACCACTGCTTCCTTGGCAGCTGAATGTAGTCCAAAAAAAAACCCCAAAAGCAAAGATCTTTGTAGATGTCATAACTGAATGATATAAATTCATGTTGAAACTGAGAAAGTTAGCATTCTGGGTTAAGCATGACCATCTCTGGGCAAAGAGTTAGGAGCTCAATAAATACTAGTAGACCTACAACTTCTGCTACTAAAATTTTAAATAATACATTGAGACTGTATATATTCAATGAACTGTTTTACTAAGACATCCATATTCCTCTTTACATTTTCAATAACCAGTTTGCTTACCGACGTTTAACCTGTCATGAAGCGAAGTCTTAGGACAGTTCTCAGAGACCAAGTGCACAGGTGCACACAGAGACAACCACAGGGCAGCAACAACTACGCAAACACAGGGGAATCTGGAGCGCACGGGGTGGAAACTTTGGATTCAGTCGAGGTGAATCTAAGTACGGGACTCGCTTTGTGTTCTGCATTTTAAGCACCTGGGGGTGGGGGGGGGAAGCATACGCCTGTGGTGCTAGGTATTTCATTTTTTCAAGGCGGTGCTATTGTTCTCACCACAACTGCGGGATGTTGGAATTCTGGATGCAATCTGCTGCCGGGATGTTTCTATTCCTAGGTGACAGTTCTTGCTCCCTTGAACAGACAAATGTGGAAGGTCGGTATGAACCGCTGATGGTGCTCGTGGGTCGCGTTTACGCTCGGAGCGGAAACGTTGCTGTAGAACTTCCATTGCTTTCCGCAGAGCCTTTCTCCTTAGATCCGGCATAAGCGCCAATAAATGACCCATCCTCGTTGAATAGACCGTGGTCACCTTCCCCGTACTCCACTAAGCTGTCGGCGCTTCCTGTGGCCTGCATCTCCCTGGTAAGGGAGCGAAGGCTTCCTTTGAGCGGTTTTTCATCACTGTCACTAGAAAACAAAAAAGAAGAGTTCGACAAAATCTCCTGAGATATGCAGGTAAAGGAAGAGTCAAGCAAAAGTGCTAACAGGTCTTACAAATTTCAGGATATTCGTAGTAGCATTGAAGATAGACAAATGACCCTTTCACAGATAAATGGATAAAAACTCATTACCCAGTTGTGTCATTTTGAGTTACTGAGACATTGAGACAATCTATTGACACATTTCATTCACTTTCATGAACTTCTGGGCCTTTGGGTCGTCAGGTCTTGATCTTCAATCCTGCATGTTCCTCCAAATCGTTCCAAAAAATGTCTCCTGGTTGGGTTAATCAATCAAATTCTGTATTAACTCAGATTTATTAAAAGAAAAAAAGAGACATGGCTGGCATTTTTAGAACATAAACACTATAAATACCCAGTATTTATAATTTGGGTGGTCTTCTTTAAAAGCAAGTCTGAGTTAGTAAAATGTCAGTAAAATGACAGTCTTCTAAATTTCTAGATGAAGAGCTTTCTTTAATATCAACTTCTATCACTATAAAGCTCTGTACCAAATTAAAAGATTTTATTCTATTTTATAAAGAAGAATTTGTAAGAAATATAATTAGCACGTGATTAGCACTTTATAGCTTGCGGTAGTAGTCATTGGTGGTATGCATCCAGTAGGTCCACCTCGCAGCCGTCCGGAAGCACAGCAGGCTGGGACTTGCCCGCCCTCTCAGAGTTACGCATCGACCTGGGACTTGCTGTGGACACAGCAAAGGGAGCCAAGGTAACATGTTACTTTACCACCAGCATCAGAAGCTGGAAGGATGACAGTTCATATGAAGTAATTGTCTCCTGGAATCACTTGGAGACAAGGTCATTTTCCTGATGCACATGCAGTTTTGAGCAAAGATGATGGAAAAGAGAATTAACGACTTTAAAAATCTGCCAGGTGAAATAGTGCAGGGACGATTTTATGTATCTTTTTTAAAAAGCAGCAGAATATGACAATGAGTCTAGAATAAGTCATACCTTAATTTTTTTGCTTATAAAATTGAACTAGTAATACCTGTTTTGTATTTTAAACAGTTGCTGTAGGTCCTCAATAACCCCTACATTGCAGAATTTGAGCCACCGTTTTCTAAATTTGTAAAATTCCAAGTTTTCTTTCTCTCCCCCAGCCCTCCCTTCAGTGTTCCTTATTCTGGAAAGTACCTAAGGTGATTGACAGAGAAATATAATATTGGGGTACATTTGTTTTGATTATATTTTTTCCAGATGTATGCCCAGGAGTAGGATCGCTGGATCACATGGTAAGTCTGTTTTTAGTTTTTTAAGGAATCTCCAAACTTCTTTGCACAATGGCTGCACCAATTTATATTACCATCAACAGTGTAGGAAGGTTCCTTTTCTCCACAGCCTCTGCAGCATTTGTCATTCATGGACTTTTGAATGATGGCCATTCTGACTGGTGTGAGGTGATACCTCATGGTAGTTTTGATTTGCATTTCTCTGATAATTAGTGATGTTGAGCATCTTTCCATGTGCTTGTTGGCCATCTGGATGTCGTCTTTGGAGAGATGTCTACGTTTTCTGCCCATTTTTTGATTGGGTTGCTTGTTTTTTTGATTTTAAGGTGTATGAGCTGTTTATATATTTTGGAAATTAGTCCCTTGTTGGTTGCATCATTTCCAAATATTTTCTCCCTTTCTGTAGGCTGTCTTTTCATTTTGTTGATAGTATCCTTAGCTGTTCACACCACTATTATTTATAATAGCCAAAACATGGAAACAACGTAAATGTCCATCAACAGATGACTGGATAAAGAAGTTGTGCTATATTTATACAGTGGAACACTACTCAGCTATAAACAAGAATAAAATAATGCCATCTGCAGCAACATGGGTGGGCCTGGAGATAGTCATTCTATGTGAGGTAAGCCAGAAAGAGAAAGAAAAATGCCATATGATGATATCACTTATCTGTGGAATCTTAAAAAAAAACGGGACACAAATGAACTTACTTACCTACAAAGCAGAGAGAGACTCACAGACATAGAGAACAAACTTATGGTTACCAGGGGCTAAAGAGGGTGGAAAGGGATACATTGGGAATTTGAAAATTGTGAGTGATGGACATGTTAGCTATCTTGATTGTGGTGGTGGTGTCACTGGTGTATTTATCAAAATTCATCTAAGTGTACATTTGAAATATGTATAGTTTACTGTACAGGAATTGTACCACAATGGTGTTAAGAAAAATAAATACAAAAATGTAGAGTACTAAGTGGAAGAAAGAAAAATAAGTATAGAGCGTATGATGAGGCTCAGCTGTGCATCAGTTAACCAGGACAGCGCCTCAGAATATTCCATATGCCTGATTACAGTAATGGATCCAGGGAGGGGCCAGTGAGGTCTCTTATTTGATAGAGCTCATGGTCTCGTGTGTGCTGAAGGCCACAAAAGCCTGAAATAAGCAACAGCTCCCGTGGCTGCACTGTACAGAAGACCTCACTGAAAACAAGGCCCTTGTGTCCTGCACAAGAAGAGGCAGGCAGAGAGTGACAGCAAGAGAGTGTGACGTGTAAACACGTTCCCAAGAGCTCCCTGATTCCTCACAGCATTGCCCAGGTATGGCCCACTTTTATTTCTTCGTAGGTTTGGTCAAGCTCTGCCCAGTAGTTCACAGTAACAGCGTTTTTCATCCTTTAAAATCCGTCTTACTTCCTTTGGATGAACCCTTACCAGAGCCCCTCTTAGACAGAAAGAGTTGCTCCCTTTTCCGCTGTTACTCTATAATTTCAGTTATTTGCACAGATACCTTTTTCCTCTACAGACTAGGTTCATCTTGAAGTCATGCTTTGCAACTCCCTCACCTTTGCAGGGACACACAGTAGGTGCACAGAAGGCATGCTAAGGGTTGTAAACCGAATCCAAGCTGGGTTTCATCACGGCCATGGTGAGGAGTCACTTTAAGCTGTTTTACCTACTTCATATACATGTTCAGTCTAAAGAAAAGTAGTGTCCTTTGCATAATACCAACTTTCAAGACAAGTGTTCTAGCACACCCTTCTACCAAGAATGCAATGACACTCCCACCTCTGCGCACACAAATTCGGTTGCTGTCACTTAGGTAGGCCCTGTTTTTACAAAGTATTCTTCCGAAGGGTATGACAATATGGTCCTGTCATCTTTAAAAAAAAAAAACTTTTTTTGTTTTTTAAGCTTATAACCTGATGGATAGGTGCTCGGATACATTTTTAAATGGAATGTAATGTTTACCTGTATTCACCAAAGGTTTCATCTTTCACTGACTGAGCTTCTGGATCTGGATGTAGATCTTCTTTTTCTTTCACTAAAGAAAATAGAGGGGAAAGTTACACATGTAATTTGTAAAGATACAGTAGTAGTGCTGCTGAAAGTTGGATAATCATCAAGAAAAATGCTCTAATTTTTTGATACTAGTAAAGAAGTCTTTTTGTGGTTGTACCTGTAACCTGTCAGTTTCCTCTTTAAACAAAGAAAGGAAAAGGATGTTCTGGGCTGTCCTTAGCTGTCATCTGAGTTACAGTATGCTGCAGATCTTCCTGTGACTATGCAATCTTACGCAGGCAACACGTTTTACTGCGAGCATCAAACTTAGTTATGGTCTATTAAGGAAGAGCAGGTTACTATACCAGGAGATTACAGACTTCTATGTTGAGAACTATAAAATGCTGATACAGGAAATTAAAGATGACTTAAAGAAATGGAAAGAGATCCCATGTGCTTGCATTGGAAGAATTAATATTGTTGAAGTGGCCCTACTATCCCAAGCAACCTACAGATTTAATGTCATCCCTGTCAGATTATCCAGGACATGTTTCACAGAACTAGAACAAATAATCCTAAAAGTTATATGGAATCACAAAATATCCAGACTTTCCAAAAAAAATAGTGAAGAAAAAGAACAAAGCTGGAGGCATAACCCTCCCAGACTTCAGACAATCCTACAATGCTACAGTAAGCAAACAGCATGGTATTAGTACAAAAAAAGGACATAGGGATCAATGGAACAGAATAGAGCCCAGAAATAAACCCACAGACCTATAGTCAATTACTCTTCAACAGAGGACACCAGAATATACAATGGAGAAAAGACAATCTCTTTGGTGAGTAGTGCTGGAAAGCTGCATGTTAAATCAGTGAAGTTAGAAGACTCCCTCACACCATCGACAAAGTTAAACTCAAAATGGCTTAAAGATTTAAACAGAAGACAGGACACCATACATCTCCTAGAAGAGAACATAGTCAAAACATTATCCCAAGGCAGTAGAAATCAAAGGAAAAATAAATGGGACCTAACTACACATAAGCTTTTGCACAGCAAAGGAAACCACAAACAAAATGAAAAGACAATCAACCTACAGACTCGAAGAAAATAACAACAAAAACCCAATCCAAAAATGGACAGAAGACCTAAACAAGCAATTCTCCAATGAAGACATACAAATAGACTCATTAAAAAATGCTCAACATCACTAATTATCAGAGAAATGCAAGTCAAAACTACAATGAGGTATCACCTCACACCAGTCAGAATGGCCATCATTCAAAAGTCCATGAACAATTCATGCTGGAGAGGGTGTGGAGAAAAGGAAACGTCCCCCCATACTGCTGGTGGAAATGTAGTTTGGTGCAGGCATTGTGGAAAACAGTATGGAGATTCCTCCAAGAAACTAAAAACAGACTTACCATATGCCCCAACAATCCCACTTCTGGGTATGTATCTGGAGGGAACTCTAATTAGAAAAGATACATGCACCCCAGTATTCACAGCAGCACTATATATACAATAGCAAAGACATGTAAGCACCCTCAATGTGCATCCATAGTTAAATGGGTAAACAAGTTTTGATATATTTATACAATGGAATTCTGTTCAGCCATAAAAACTAATAAAACAATGCAAATTGCATTACATGGATGGACCTGGAGATCATCATTCTAAGTGAAGCCAGAAACAAAAAGAAAAATACCATGTATCACTCATATATGGAATCAAAAAAAAAAAAAAAGAGGACACTAACTTATCTACAAAACAGAAACAGACTCACAGAATTAGTAAACAATCTTATGGTTACCAGGGAAAGGGGGGAGAAGGGATAAATTTGTGAGTTTGAGATTTACAAATGGTAGCCACTGTATATAAAAATAGATTTTTTTTTAAGAAAAGTTCTGTATAGCACAGGGATGTATATTCAATATCTTGTAATATCCTTTAATGGAAAACAAGATGAAAGTGTATATATGTGTGTATATGCATGACTGGGCCATTGTGCTGTACACCAGAAACTGACACATTGTAAATGATTGTACTTCAATTTTAAAAAAGCCCACAAGTGATAAATGCTGGAGAAGGTGTGGAGAAAAGGGATCCCTCCTACACTGTTGGCAGGAATGGAAGTTGAGCAGCCACCATAGAAAATAGTATGGAGATTCCTCAAAAAACTAAAAAGACTTACTATGTGATCCAGCAATCCTATTCCTGGGCATATATCTGGAGGGAGCTCTAATTTGAAAAGACACATGCACCCCAATGTTCACAAGAGCACTAGTTACAATAGCCAAGACATGGAAACAACCTAAATGTCCACTGACAGATGACTGGGTAAAGAAGTTGGGGGTGTGTGTGTGTGTGTATTTTTATGTCACTATAGATGTGAATGGTAATTAATGAGGTAATTTGGAGTTAGAGTATGTGTATAAATACAAACACACTGTGGAATACTACTCAGCCACTAAAAATAATGAAATGCCATTTGCAGCAACATGGATGATATCATTTATGGAATGATGGAATCTAAAATATGGCACAAATGAACTTATTTACAAAACACAGAAAACAAACTTATGGTAACCAAAGGGGAAAGTGGGAGCAGGATAAGTTGGGAGTTTGGGAGTTGCAGATACTACTACTTTATAGAAAATAAATAACCAGGTCCTACTGTGCTGCACAGGGAACTAGACAGTCAATATCTTATAATAGCCTATTATGAAAAGGAACATATATATGTATACCTGAATCATTACGCTGTCCACCAGAAACTAACACGGTGTTGTAAATCAACTACAAGAAAAATTGGTGTATATGCATTTTACTATCCTAATCTTTTTGAAGATGTCATTGGCTGATACCAGATCTGTACTGTTAAACTGAAAAGATTTAAAAGTCAATAATTTGGTTGTTCTGCTCTGTTACTCCGAATGACCTCAATAATCAATATTCACGTCCATAGTGACATAGAATACATTAGATTTATTCTAAAGAGTGGAATGGAGAACAGAGAGGCTCTTGCTTCACTTTACGTGGAAAAAAACAAAAATCCTTCTTCACGGCACCTTTTACTACAACTTGCAGAGACCTGGAGATTCTCTTAGTTGTCCTATAATGTGAAATGCTGACTTGTTTTTCTTTTAAGAGCTTGATCTGAGAAAGCTTCTTAAGAATTTAAATAGCGCCACACTTCACAAGTGACAATTTGGGATATGCAAAAGGAAATGCTGTATCACTTTAAGGTTTTCAACTAATTACCTGGAACATTCATGAGTCATTGGAAATCTAATTCATAACAGTTCAGTCTTCACACGAAGAAAGTGATAGGTAAGACTGCAGAACGTTCCTGTGTAACTTAAAAACTTAGAAATTATTCTTGTTTGATTGACTGTTCAATATACATAATGGGTTCCCAACAAATATTTACTCAGTGAATCATAAGCCGGTAAAGAATTTCTCACTCATCTGAACTCTTTCCCCCTGTATAAAAGCATTATGAATACTAAGCAAAAATATAATCATCATATGTGTATCTGAAAAAGATAAAATAAATTTGGAAATTGAATGAATTAAAGTAAACCACTGTACTAACTAGGATGGTTTTCTTTTATATATTATGTACCATTAATCCAGGAGGCAGTGTATCCAGTATAGGTCTTGCTACTAAGAAATGCATCCCCAGCAATGGCTAAGTCTAACACAGTTGAATCGTGGAGCCAGCATCATTAGGATGTATTAGTGCAAAAAATCTCTGGGTCATGCCTGTGTAGCAAAGCATACTATAAAGGAGTCTTTTTAAAAAAAAACCATTAAAATATATCTGGGTGACTTAGTAATTAAGTCTTCCCAACATCTCTGGTATTTCACAGAGTGTAGAAGCTTGGAAGTATGCGTTAAATGCCTCACTTCACTAGTGCCTGTTTTACGGACTAGGAACTATGAGACAAGCACCTGGAGATAATATTCTAGACAGACCACCTATTCCCCTGGTTAGTTAATACAGCAATATTTTTCCCCCCAGTATATTGTACACCTAATGTGCTAATATAAATTTGACTTAAATGTGTAATTTAAACAATTAAAGATGTCTCTGAAGAAGGCCGCCTAGAATTAAATAGAACCTATTTAATAAATTCAAAGTCATATTAAGAAACAACTTTACCTGAGTACTTCCCGCCTCTGTTCCTCTTCACAAAGCAAACAGTTAACAGTATTAGTGTGAGGAGAGCAATCGCACACATCAGTCCAATAAACCAGCCTTGAGTGGAGATGTCATCGTATAAACCAGCATATTCTGTTGTACAAAGAGAAGGCACAAGTTGAACTCCAGTTTTCTCAAAAATGAACTGCTTCTAAGCATTTTTTAAACATAAAATAGCATCAGTTTAATTTTTTCCTTTGAGTGACCTCAGAGAGAATGTGATTTGAAGGATACTTCATTGGGAGAATACTGATAAATTGCTGATCATCGTTTATAAAGGGCCCTCTCACATTGCATTTGATTCCGAGGATGAAAACCAAACAGGGATAGTGGAGGCAGCATTGGTTAAATATAGTAGCAGCAGCAGCAAGCAAGCAAAAAAGGACAAGCTGCCTTAGTTATATGCAGATTGCTGTAGAGTTTGAGGGTTTTATTTTATTTCATTTTTCTTATTAGTTTCTGTTATTAACACACATGAATTAGCAGCAGACATTTTTAGGCAAGTACTTTGGTAAAAACAGTAAGGGACAACTTGGCCACTGGTGAAACATTTTTCATTTTGTTGTTACAACTAATGTACTTCATATTTGTGTCTTTAATATAGGAAGTATGTAAAATTAATCTACAGAACACAGATTTACTGTCTAAGATTGTTCCGAAGAGAATCTAATTTCTCACCTCTCCCTCTTGTCTCAATTACATCTTCAAAAATGCTATTGTTATCAACCCAATTCTTAGTCAATAGGCGAACTATGTGTTCAGCTCCCGGCTCAAATACCTCTACTGGATGAGTCTTTTGAGTAACATTAACTCCTTCTGATATCTTCCCGACACTTTTACCTAAGAAATGTACACAGTTAAATCATACGAATTGTCATCACTGAAAAGCAGGACATGTAAGATAAAAAGTATTGTTATTGGACATGTGTAAGAGCCATTTGTAGCATTCTTCCCCCTCAGTTTTTGAATCAGCAGAAGATCAAAACAATCAAGACTTTTTTTAATATGCTGAAATGGAGCAGATGAACTTAAGTCATGTCCTTTTAAGATGATGCACTTACTGATGAAATGGTACTATATAAATCTGCTTGGTCATGTAAATGGTCAAAATCAAACCCAGACTTCAAAAAATTATACAATGTCATTTTGTGCAACTGAGTTTCACAAACCTAGGAGGAAAGTAAATACGGCCATTTTGCCATTTTGTCTTATAATTGAAAGCATATGGTATTATAATCTTAATTCCATTTCTTTTTGCTTTGGTCCTCTGCATAAATGTTGATGGAAGAGCATCATAATTTGCTGATGTATTAAATGTTTGAAATTTGTAGAAACTTAAGCTACATAAAAATGCAGGCTTATAAGTACCTATAGGTACATTTAAATGAAATTCATTGAAGTTTTTGAAAGTGCTGTGAGCAATTTACACTTCAGAAAGAAACATGAATACGTCACTATATTAATTGTAGAATAGCCTAGCAGATAAATGTATATTTTAATTACACTTGACTCATACTTTTACCTTCTGATATTGCAACAGAATATCTAAAATATTTTTGCTTTTGATCCATAGTTTTGCTCAATCAACTAAATACAATAAATGTAAACCAGAAAATGTTATCAATTTATATTGAAAATACAATGTAGTCTCTGTGGAGAGTATTAAGAGTTATGAAACTGTTTTAAATAAGAACGTGTCACAAATTAAAATTTACTTGTAACTTTGCACCACAGAATAGAAAATAATTATATAGTTACCGGTAACACAAGGACGTCATTAAACAATGGCACTATGGGAGAAATAAGGCCAGTTACGTTAGTTGAGCAAAAGCCTTTAAGATTGAGCATCACAGAACGCAATTAATTTTGAACTTGAAACCCAGGAATATTAGTAAAACATGAAATAGCATAAGCTTTGGAAAAACAGAGCAAAGCAAGTGTTATTCAAACCCATAATGATAAAAAAAAAGAATATTTCTGATTAACTCCATTTTCTCCCCACTTAAATTATGGAATGTGAGCTGCATAGGAAATTAGAGTAACAATCAGAAAATGATCTGGAAAAAAATGCTTGTGTATCAGATCTCACTCTGATTAATGCCAGATGACCTTAAGATGTTTCATCTAGGCAGAGCAAAGAGAAGGATACACAGAAATAGATTCCAATTTGCACAAAAGTTATCATTTTTAGTGCTATCAATATGGATCTCCTCAGTGGAAATATATATATACCCCCCTTTTTTCCAATGATCATGCTAAAATCCAATGGGGGAAGAGATGATAGTTTTTTTCCTGTGAACATGGTGAGGCAGGCCTATAGAAGAGAAATCAGTGTCAACTGGGGAAGGGGGCAGTAGCTGAAAATGCAGAATCCTGAAAAAGAGCACAAACATACTAATAAGAAACATTTCCAAATTATACCACTTGGAGTGAAGAAGTATGCCTGAGACACTCAAGCACATTAGTTCTGTCTTTAATTTGGAGAAATGGTAAAGCACCTTTTAGAAGTCCAAACAGAGAGCATTTTCCACCCTCTAAAAACAATATGCCAAACGTAAATGCAACCATGCTCACCATTTCCAAATACTTCCATATATATCAGAATGTCTAACTATGGTAAGGAAATTTTGTGATTTTTTTCTCAAATGCTTAAAATTGCCAAGAACAGGGTTAGCATTTTTCACACATATTATATAGTCTTGGTTCTAACAAAATAGCAACCTTCTCCATGCCTTAAACTCTGTTTTAGAAAATACAGAAGTTGCATATTTAGATTACCACTATTCCGACTTCTCTTCTTTGTATTGAACACTTGATACCCACTTGAGCTCTTGACAAATAAGAAACTTTTAGTTACTAGAAAGCTTTCAATCACCATCTTTAAATCTACCTCTTATGAGTAGGTAAATGAGCTTTTCATTTCATCCTTGGGGACAATTGTGGGTTTCTTGGAATATATATGTATTACCCATGAAAGGAAGTTTTGAATATTTCGGGAGCCTGAAGTACAGTAGGAACAATAAGAGGAAGAAAACTATGATATGTGGCAGCATAACCATTCACACAAACACACTGACTGTACAGTGATTCACCAACTTACATTTAAATACATTTTTTTTATAAGTGACAGACAATTCAATTTCCCCCATTACTATCTTCTCTTTTTGCCATCAGTTCTCTTTAATCTAAAACTTGGGAAGTCATACAGAGGGGGGACACACAGTAAATTATATATAAATGACTTATTTGTATTTTCCTTCCAGCCACCCCCCCATCTCCTTTTGCCCTCCTCAAATATCCTTCTAGGTCTGATCAACCTGAATTCTACACAAAGCCCTATATTTTTTTTTTTAATTTACTAGTGAGTACATCAGTTCCCGCCAACTCATTTCCCTTTCTTGCTCTACCTTCTTATTTCCCTCCTGATGCTCTGTTGATACCATAGAAAACTTCACAAAAACACTGCTAAAATCCTAAATGGAGAAATAATTAGGGAGTGGAAATGGTCAGAGCTGGAAAAATACAGAAAAGTGCAACTGAATTAGGAGAACTGTACAAATAAAACCATACATTTACGAACCGTTTTCAAGCCAGTGATTTGGCATCAACCAGTAAACATAAGTGCAACTGAGATATGGATCAGTGTGTATGTGAGTCGAGACACGGAGGTGAAACGTATCACGTCAGTGTCGCAAAATGGAAGCAAGTTTTCTTCTGTGTGGAAACATTTCCAGAGATTAACCTTATGAATGACTTTATGACCTTCTAGCCCCCCTATTTTAATTAAGTAAAATTATAGTTTCTGACCTTCTATATACTAAGGCGATAGTTTGATTACGGTTGT